CTCCAAAGCCAGGGATGTTGTGTGTAGTAGACACTGATGGCATTGTTAAAAAAAAAAAAATCAGGCTTGTTCTCCTGCTTTTGTTGAACCAGTATTGTTCTTCATTCTCAAGTATTCTTAAGTCTTAGCCACTAATTATGTAATCCTTCTTAAGGTTGTTCCAGAACAGCCAATGTGATTTTACTCTGCCCTGCATTTTGCCTGTATAGTATTGACTTGAAACTTCATTTTTACGCACGTAGAAATCCTAATAGAATAGCTTTCCCATATTGCCAAGTGCTCAAATTCCTCTGAACTTAAAATATTAAAAAGTGAGCAATGTTCACTGTATCCAGTATTACATATTTTGACAGCAATGTTTGCAGTTTTGAGAAACAGAACAAATCTATGCAATTCTCTCCCTTTAAAGATATTGGCAGCATTATGTTAGGATTTATAAACAGGACGTTTCCCACCATGTTTTGAAAAACAAGTAACTAAAGAATGCCTTCCTACAACTCACAGTTGAGGACAAATAAGCAGACTTATTTTTCTCAACCCAAATCATTCTATTTCACACCAGCAAATATTTTTACAGGTGCCTTGGACAAATTAAAACCAAATGTATGTTGTAAAAATGGTCTACTAAATCAAGGGTTTGTGCGATTAGAGTTTTCATGAAAGAAGACACTGCTTTCTTTTGTGCAGAAAAAAGTGGATTCTGTTGCATTATTTTTCTTTGGAATATGCTTGGATCATGATGCAAATCTTGTAGATAAACATCTATATTTTCTTTCAACACAATGTGAATCTACCCAGCTGAGAATTAAAATATTGAAGCAATCGGTGGTATTGTATCTTGTGTTCAGAGGGTAAAATACAGTAAAGCTGTACTCAGAAACATTGTCGGACTTGAGTTAATATCCCAACAGTAATTACCAGTAGTTCCCCAGCAAGTGGACAGATTTCAATATAAGGTCCCTGAAGTCCTCACAAATACATGAAATGCACATACTTGTGAAAGGTTATTACAACATAACTTGCATTTTCACACATGTATAGTTCCATGTGGCATATAATGAAACGTTTCTAGTCTCATTTTGAATTTTGGTAGTAATATAATGCACATTTTATTACATGTCTGTAGTTTTAATGATGGAGGCCATCAAGTTATTTTACATGCCCATAATGAATAATGATAGAAGAGGGACAGTTTGGGATAGTGGATAAGCACTGGTGGCACAGTGGTTAGAATTCAGCTCCTTCTGCTGAATCCCAGCTGCCAGCAACTTGGCAGTTTGAGTTTCACTGGCTCAAGGTTAATTCAGCCTTCCATCCTTCCAAGGTCGGTGAAGTGAGGACCCAGATTGTTGGGGACAATATGCTGACATTGTAAACCACTTAGAGAGGGCTGTAAAGCAGTATATAAGTCTTATTGCTGTTGCTATAAGGCAGGGTGACAAACTTGCCACGTATCTCGACTTTTTCCCCCTTGCTGGAGCTGGGATGGGTGTGGCTTCCTTGTCGCATATCCAGCCCGCGGACTGGCAATTTGACACCCCTGCTATAAGGCATATGCTTTGAGTTCTAGTCTGTCCTTGGGTACTGAGCCAGTCGGGTGATTTTGTGCCAGTCACCCTGAAGAAGGAGGAGACAATGGCAAACCAGTTCTAAAAAATCTTGCCAAGAAAACAGCAGGGACTTGTCCATGCAGATGCTAGGAGCCAGGACAACCCAAAAGCGTCTGCATGCACACACATCATACACACAAATGCCAATAATTCTCTTTAACTGGAAGTACAATTCATCTACTGGTGAGATGCAGTTTTTTTATAGAAACTTCGGAAATGTAATTGCCAATTCTTGTATGTTTTTGAAGAGTGTTGTTCTGTTTGTGTGTTGGAAATATGTTGAGAAAGAGTGCAGAGAAGGGCAACAAAGATGATTAGGGGACTAGAAATTAAAACATAAATGGTTGCAGGAACTGGCTATGTCTAGTTTAATGAAAAGAATGACTAGGGATGACATGATAGCAGTGTTCCAATATTTAAGGGCCTGCCACAAACAAGGGGGGGAGGGGGAGTCAGGTTATTCTCCAAAGCACCTGAAGGCAGAACAAGAAGCAATGGATGGAAACTAATCAAAGAGAGAATTAACCTAGAACTGAGGAGAAATTTCCTGACAATTACAATTAATCAGTGCAGCAGATTGCCTTCAGAAGTTATGGGTGCTCCAACACTGGAGGTTTTTAAGAAGAGATTGGACAGTCATTCATCTGAAATGGCATAGGGTCTCCTGTTTGAGCAGGGGGTTGGACTAAAAGACCTCCAAGATCCCTTCCAAATCTGTTGTTCTGTTGTTTCCAAATTAACATATCTAAATAAATCAAAATTTGATTTAATTGAATTTTATTTGAAGTTATTCTTAGGAAAACGTTTGGTGATTTTTATAATTTTGCAATGGCACATGCTGATGACAAAAGGAAGACTATTAACCTATTCTTTATATTATTATTTGTCTAACTTTTAATCCTGCAAATTAGGGGATGGTAACATTCTACCAAGAGTCTGAGATTTGATTTGTTCAGGCTGAGGGTTTCTACATACGAAGCTTCTTTGCTGGCATGTGATATATCTAACTGACGGGCAATTTGTTGTTGTTAGTTGCGAAGTCATGTCCGACCCATTGCGATCCCATGGACAACGTTCCTCCAGGCCTTCCTGTCCTCTACCATCTTCTGGAGTCCATTTAAGATCACGCCTACTGCTTCAGTGACTCCATCCAGCCACCTCATTCTCTGTCGTCCCCTTCTTCTCTTGCCCTCAATCTTTCCCAGCATTAGGTTCTTCTCTAGTGAGTCAGTGAGGGGCAATTTAGATCACCCCAATTAAAAACAATGGGAAGTTGATATGCTGCAACAGTGCCAACTTTCATCTTTAATTAAGAGAATGCTTCTGGATTCCAGCATTAGTTAAAAAGTAAAGAAATACGAATAGCTACATCAAGTGTTTTACCTGGAAATATGCCCATTTCCTCCTTACCTCAAAGTATCCCTAAAAGTGAACTGGGGTACTAGTAGAAATTCTCTGGGGCTAGAAAATTGCCAAGGGGCAATTTTATCAGTGTGCCACCCAATAAGTGGATATTTTGTAATTGGCTGCCTTCCAACATTGGTTAGAGGTGCGGATGTGCATATGTTGTGCTCTCAAAATTCCAAAGGTATTTTTTTTTGGCCCAGAAAAGTTGGTTATTTTTGCTCTTATGTGAGAATATGCAGTGTGTGTTGGTAGAAATTGCAAGGTGATTCCTTTTTTAAGTGCACAAACATCCAGTCCAATAAGGCAGACTCAAAGCTGCGCTGTGATTACTTTAGTCTTGTTTCCAAATGAAAGACCTCTCCTGCTGATAAATTGTTATGCTTAGGCAGGGGTAGGCAACCTTGGCTGTTTTATGACTCGTGGACTTCAACTCCCAGAATTCCTGAGCCAGCATGGCTCAGCTTGGAAACCTCTCCCTTTTCCCTCAGCATGGTTGGCTCAGGAATTCTGTGAGTTGAAGTCCACGAGTCATAAAATAGCCAAGGTTGCCTACCCCTGTGCTAAGGAGTGGATTTGTTTTAATTCGGTACTGAAGTGCATTGAAAGGATCAGCCAAGGCTGACTACTTCTTTGTGGCCTGTTGTAGCGGTAACCAACAGGAGACTCACTCATAAAAATAATTCAGATAGTTAACTTACATTTAGTTTAATAGTACATTATTATCTGGGCCATGCTGCTGTTCGAATTAAGAGAGGTTGTGGGCACCCTCTTTTTGACATAGTGCTCTCAATGCTATATATTTTCTGTACGTGTCCTGCTTTCGATTAAATTTTGATTTGATTGAAATCTGATTCATTTCTCTATTTCCAACTACATATTAAAAACACCTGTTTCTGAGAACTGGCTCATACAATGGTCTGTCTCACATCTCTCTCCTGTGATGCCTTGCCTTGAACGCATCCGAGTAGCTGTTGCTATGCCATGATTACCAAAGATGAACCATTGTTTCAATCATTCAATCTTCAAAGTTTGCATAAGATCCCAGACTAAATAAACCACAGCCACCTGTTTAACAGTGTAGGTTAAAGTAGGATTGGCTAGCTTGCAGATCAATATGTCTGAAGAGCACAGCCACTTGAGTTTGACAGGATAAAGCAGGGGTAGGCAACCTTGGCTCTTTTATGATTCGTGGACTTCAACTCCCAGAATTCCTGACCCAGCATGGCTAGCTCAGGAATTCTGGGAGTTGAAGTCCACCAGTCATAAAAGAGCCAAGGTTGCCTACTCCTGGGATAAAGGATGCTCTTGATCTGATCTGGAGAATAATGGTAACCTGGAAATGATTGCAATAAAACCTGAGAGATTCGTAGCTGTCATTAACAAATCACTAAAATGTGCTAAATCTTTAGAGACCACAACTATAGAGAGCCATGGAGCCTCGTTCTAGCATAAATGTCTAATCACCACTTAGTCTGGAAAAAGTATACTGGAGGGAAATCCAATGCCAGTGGATACAATATCCATGAATGGAAGGATTGGTCCTCATTTAAAGGAGAAGCTTGCTGCTCCTTCCACAAAGATTGAAATCTCTTTGATCTTTCTAACGTGATTTATTGTTGACCTGTTCCACAAAATTCACATAATCAACCGCGTCCAGCCATTAGAATTCAAACAATGGAGCCATGAATGGCTTATTTTATGCCTGAATGTATGAGAACAAAGGAAAAACAAATTACATCTCTATATTTCTCATCTATCCCCGCCGTTGCCGGCCCACTCACCCCCTCCATATCTCTTGAAAGAATAAAAATTAGCTTAAGGTATTAATACAAAAAGTAAATACAAAATCTAATGATTCCCCCCCCCTCCCTTTGGTTAATCTGAACCATCTGCCTCTCGCTGCTAAGGAGTACACCGCCTTAATCCAGATTAGAATTGACGAACTTTCTGGCATAGAGTTTTCCCTCATACTGTGCCCTAGAAGAGCTGCTCGGGGCCGTTGAAATTTCATTGGTTCATTGGTTCATTCTTTTTCCTTCGGGCTGTGGGTTTCCTGGTGGCGTGGGTTTATTTTTCCATTTGGCCAGGTGAAAAAAAAAGGGGGGGGGAGAGAACATGGCTTTCCTAATGAAAAATATGCTGAGTAACCAGGTGAAAAATTTGGGACTTTCTGGAGGGGGCGAAGAAAAGAAGGAGGAAGCTGCTCCAGCTGACCCAGCTACAGCAGCCGGAATGACCCGGGAAGAATATGAGGAATATCAAAAGCAAGTGATAGAGGAGAAGTAAGTGCATCTTCCTATGTTTTCAGTGTGTAAACTGATTTTAGATTGTTTAAATTCACAAGACCAGAAATCCAGGGAGGTAGATGCTTTAATGCATATGAGTTAAGGCTGTACCACTACTTATTCTCCAGAAGCATGTCTAATTTTCCACAATAGTATCTCCATGGAAAGGGGATCCTTTCCTTTGAATGTTCCTCTTCCAGATTTCTAGGTTGGGGAAAGAGAAATACTTAATACACCCAAGATATTTCCTAAATATAACCACAGTTACAAGCTTGTTTATGTATGGAACTTCATAGGCTTCTTTACTCTTCATCTGAATCAAATACTTTTCAGAAATTTTCTTTTCCTGCATTGGTTAGAATTTTAAAGTTGGTTTTATGTAAGCTAGTTAAATTCAATAAATCCAATAAAGTTAGATTTACTCTTATTTTAAAACATACATAAAGAAATAATGACAAAGGTAACATGAGTCTGTCTCTGAAAGTCTAAAAGTACTGTGCTCTTCCTTAAAAAATGCTTTTATATAATGACATAGGAAACCACCTACAAAATCATCATTTTAAATAATATTAGTTTTTTTTAGGAAATTTGCAATATTAGTATTATACTATTAGTAGTAATATTAGTATTCGTACTCAACCAGTAAAGCCATATGAAATAAAATGAAAACATATTGCTACTATTGTAGCTACAAAAATAATTGAATTTCAAGTCTCTAGGACATCATTTCACTAATGATCAATTACATAATGTTTAGCTAAAGCTACAATGTAAGATGATTAGAGGGAGAGGTTAATGATCTGTGGAATTTGACCGACCAGGTTTATATTTAGTAATAGTCCTTTTCACAAGATGGACCTTGAGCCACAGGAAATTTTAAGGGAAATGCCTCTTTCTTGCATGGGAAAATGAAAAATGTATCCAGGGAGCAAAATAAATCTGTATCTTTCAAGATCTGTATTCATTCAATATCTTTAATGAAGTTACTTTGTTTCTACTATGGGCATTTGATTTTAATGATCAGAAGGTGAGGGAGTCAAGTATCATATTTCCAGATTAGCATGTTTTGCTTATGCCTTTTAATAAAATTGGTTAGTCTGAAGAGGTCCTCCTAGACCAGCGGTTATCAACCTATGGGTCGCGACCCCATTTGGGGTCTAACGACCATTTTACGGGGGTCGCCAAACAACGCGATCTGCCATGTTTCCCCCTCAGGGGGCGCCGTGCATGGGGCGGCGCATGGGGTGCCGTGCATGGGGCGGCGCATGGGGCGGTGCGGCGCATGGGGCGGTGCCGCGCATGCGCGGCGCATTCGTGTGACTGGGGGTCGCCGTATAAAAAGGTTGAGAACCGCTGTCCTCGACTCCTGATTTTTGGCTGTCATAAAGTTAGCCCTCCCACTTTTTCTAAAAAATCAATTTTGGCACAAAATTCAACATAGTGAATTTTTCAGATATTAAATCACCCATAAAAGGTTGCAAGATGACTCAAGTTCATAGCCTGGAGTAAACCTCTAGTAATCCTGCTTCCTGTAACAACTACATTGTCAGTGTTCAAACCATAGCAAGGTCATCAAAGTATCCCCTTCAAAAACATACAAAGGGCAGATGGTTTAAGGAGGTCTCAAATTATACATATTGAAATGCTATAAATTAATATATATATATATATATATATATATATATATATATATATATATATATATATATACATATATATATGTGTGTATATATACATATACAATATTGTCATTGCCCCCTTCTTAGGGCTGCGAGAAAGTGACAGGCCCAAGGTCATCCAGTTGGCTTAGTGCCTAAGGCAGGACTAGAACTTACAGAGTCCCAGTTTTTAGCCTGATGCATTAACCACTAGACCAGGAGTAGGCAACCTTGGCTCTTTTATGACTCGTGGACTTCAACTCCCAGAATTCCTGAACCAGCCATGCTGGCTCAGGAATTCTGGGAGTTGAAGTCCACGAGTCATAAAAGAGCCAAGGTTGCCTACCCCTGCACTAGACCAAACTGGCTCCTGCTCTAACTATTAGCCATTAAAACTAATGGCTCAGTTAAAACACAACTGGAGCAAACAACATGAGCCTGATTTTCAGAACCATAGATTTGTCATTATAGCTCATTTCAGTTCATAAACTCATTCATAAAGTCACTCAGAAAGCCATAAATATTAGATCTGGTTCCACACATCCCCCCCCCCCCAGCATTCTAAACCCAGGTCAAATGGATTTTCCAATGGAAAGAAAACTTGCTTTCTATCATAAGAAGGAACAGCAGTTTTCTTCTATACTTTTAGTTTCGTAACTTTGAATGGTCACTAAATGAACTGTTGTAAGTTGAGGATTACCTGTACTCTGTGTCAGTTAGTCAGGAATAGTATTTAGATAAATACAATTTATATTCTATTTTAATTGTTAGACACTCATAATCACATTGACAAGGCAGGCAGCCATATAAGTCAATATAAATAAATCAACCTCCGGATTTTGAGGGGTCTTCTACTGTAAACAGATGCATGAATCCAGAAGACACCACAACGCCAGTTGCTTCTGGATGCTCCTTAAGAGTGTCCTTCAGCCTGATGTTTAGCTGGACCTGCTCAATTGATTCTTACAAAACCTCCCATTTGTGCCTTCAGGATGGAAAGAGACGCAGCTTACACGCAAAAGAAGGCTGGACGAGCTGTTTTGCGGGTTCACTTGCGAGAGAAATACAGACTTCCAAAGGCAAGACCTCTCTCAAAAATACTGTTTATTACATACATATACTTGAGAACACATAACATTCATATAACTCAGTGGTTCTCAAACTTGGCAACTTTAAGATGTGTGAACTTCAGCTCCCAGAATTCCCTTGCCAGCATGGGCAATTCTGGGAGTTGAAGTTCACTCATCTTAATAGTTTGCCATGTTTGAGAAACAGTGATGTATCTGTTTTGATATTTACCTTTTCTGCCCTTTCTCAATGACCCCGAAATTTTACACGATATGTAACATGCTGAATGCGCCAGCCAAAATTCAGGTTAGATAATAATAATAATAATAATAATAATAATAATAATAATAATAATAATAATAATGATGATGATGTTGGAAGGGATCTTGGAGATCATCTAGTCCAACCTCCTGCTCAGGCAGGAAACCCTATACCATTTCAGACAAATGGCTGTCCAGTCTCTTCTTTAAAACTTCCAGTGTTGGAGCATTCACCACTTCTGGAGGCAGGTTGTTCCACTGGTTAATAGTTCTAACTGTCAGGAAGTTTCTCCTTAGTTCTAGGTTGCTTCTCTCCTTGATTAGTTTCCATCCGTTGCTTCTTGTCCTGCCTTCAGGCGCTTTGGAAAATAGCTTGATTCTCTTCTTTGTGGCAGCCCCTGAGATATTGGAACACTGCTATCATGTCCCCCCTCGTCCTTCTCTTCATTAAACTAGACATACTCAATTCCAGCAGCCTTTCCCTATATGCTTTAGCCTCCAGTCCTTTAATCATCTTTGTTGCTCTTCTCTGTACTCTTTCTAGAGTCTCAACATCTTTTTTACATCGTAATGACCAAAACTGGATGCAGTATTCCAAGTGTGGCCTTACCAAGGCATTGTAAAGTGGTATTAATACTTCACGTGATCTTGATTCACGATATCCTTTCAGCATTTTATTTGTATCGCAAAAATCCGTGCCATAGAGATAGAAATGGAAATAAAGCCACAAGTCCAGTACAGGTAGACCTTGACTTATGACCTCAATTAGGACCAGAATTTCTGTTACTAATCAAGGTGGCTGTTAAACAAGTTGCCCAATTTTACAATCTTATTTGCCACAATTGTTAAATAATCATGGTGGTTATTAAGAGAATCATGTCCTCCAGTTACAACCACAATTCAGATTGGAACTTTTATTGCTATGTGACGTGGTTAAGTGATTAGCACCTGATTTTACAACCTTTTTTGCTGCAGTCGTTAAGCGAGTCACATGGTCATTAAATGAATCTGGCTTCCCCCATTGACTTTGCTTGTTGGAAGCTGGCTTGAAAGGTGGCAGATGACCCCAGGATGCTGCAACCATTGTAAGTACATGCCAGTTGCCAAGAGCCCAAATTTTGATCACGTGACTGTGGGGATGCTGCAAAGTCATAAGTGTGAGGACTAGCTATAAAGTACTTTTTTCAGCGCTGTTGTAACTTTGAATAGTCACTGGGTTAATGATTGTAAGTTGAGGACTACTTGTAATAATAAAGCTGGGGGTTCAGATCCTCAGCCTCAGCCAAGAATGCGTACAGCTGGGTTACTTGAATGGATGGAAACTAATCAAGGACAGAAGTAACCTGGAATTAAGGAGAAACCTCCTAACAGTGAGGACAATTAACCAGTGGAACAGCTTGCCTCCAGACATTGTGAGTGCTTCATCACTGAAGGCTTTTAAGAAGAGACTGGACAGCTACCGTACTTGTCTCAAATTGTATAGAGGGCTGAGCAGGGGGTTGAACTAGAAGACCTCCAAAGTCCCTTCCAGCTCTATTCTGATTGACTTCTGCCAAACTCAGTCCAACCTACCACACAGGGTGGTTGTGTGGAAAAAAAATTAAAGTAGGGAGCACTACATGCACTGCCTTGAGCTTCTGGGGTACTGTATATACATCTCAAAAATTATAAAAATGATTGCAATTATTGCACATTCAAAGTTCATGACGATGCTTTTAGCCAAAGGCTGGCATGATTTAGGACTGAAATGGGAAGACATTTGCTATTGGACTCTGTTGTTAGAGTCAAAAGGAGATGGAGCCCCTCTTCTCCCCCTTCCCCATTTTTTCTTTCATTCCCTTACTATCATCTTTTCTACTCAAAAGTCTGCTGGGTAGCAATCCTGGCCAAAGCACTGAATTGCTTTCTGGCAGAAAAGCTTGGAAATTAACCCCATTAAATTACACAGAAGGGTAAAATTCCCAGGTAGTGACACCCCTCCTTTTGGTGATGCCTTTTTCATGGAGCCTCCAGCTCTTTCCAACTTCTCCTATTGATCCAAAGGTCATTCTTAATCCTCTGCCTTTCCTTTTTGTCTTTCTGTCTTCCTCAAAACCTCCATTTTATATACAGTCTTTAACTTCCTAAGAACATTTCCATTTTTCCAGTCCAGTGGCTTTCTTCATCACAGAGCCCCGTTAAATACCTTTTGTGCCCACGGACCATGGTCAAGACTTAACTCAAGATTTAAATCATAACATTTTTTCAATCCTTTGCAGACCCCCTGCGAGGATATCACAGACCCCAAGGGGTCTGTGGACCACAGGTTGAGAACCACTCTCTTGGTCCATTTATAACAATAACAGAGTTGGAAGAGACCTTCTAGTCCAGTGGTTCTCAACCTGTGGGTCGGGACCCCATTTGGGGTCGAACGACCATTTCATGGGGGTCGCCAAACCACGCTGTCCGCCATTTTTTTCCCTTTTCCCTAGCTGTCCTACTCCCTCTTATTGGTGGCCACACCCACTTGGCCACACCCCTGGGGGTCACCACAACACAGGGAACTGTATTATGGGGTCACGGCATTAGAAAGGTTGAGAACCACTGTTCTAGTCCAACCCACTGCTCAAGAAACTCTGCACCATTTCAGACAAATGGTTGTCCAATCTCTTCTTAAAAACCTCCAATGTTGGAGCACTCACAACTTCTGAAGGCAAGCTGTTCTACTGGTTAATGCTCCTTACTGTTAGAAAGTTTCTCCTTAATTCCAGGTTGCTTTTCTCTTTGGTTAGTTTCCATCCATTGCTTCTTGTCCTGCCTTCAGGTGCTTTGGAGAATTGGTTGACCTCTCTCCTTTGTGGCAACCCCTGAGATATTAAAACACTGCTATCATATTACCACTAGTCCTTCTTTTCATTAAGCTAGACATATCCAATTCCTGTAACCGTTCTTTGTATGTTTTAGCCTCTAATCCCCTATCCCACTTTCTATATGCAAATGGATTTAAAGTTCTTCATGAATGTTGAGGTGAACTCTTTTACCTGATTTTTTTTTTAAATCTCTTTAAGGTAGCTCATCTAAAGTCCAAGAAACAAGGTAGACTTTCCCCTTCTCATCTCTAGTCATCTTATCTCTGTTTATTTACCGTCTCAATTGTAATTTAGGGTTCTTTTTTTATTGATCTGTTAATGACATTCATGAAATTAACATGTATGTCCTTGCAGGCCCCCCATTCAATTTCATGCCACTTTTTAGTGTAGAGACACATATACATAGGTAGATTCTTAACTTTAGAGTAGATGAAGATCAATATTTCCTTACTTGACCTAGTGTTCCTCAACTTTGGCAACCTTAAGATGTGTGAACTTCAATTCCCAGAAATCCCAAGCCAGCCAAGCGGGATGGGAATTCTGGGAACTGAAGTCCACACATCTTAAAGTTGCTAAGGTTGGGGAAAAAAACTGTCCTGGGCCATCCTTTCCTAATTTGGGCCCTTCAGATATGTTGATGGTACAACTATTAAAGATTCTCTCTCTCTCTCTGGGAATTTGGCAGATGACTTTTCAGAGCTTCAGATATTATTGGACTCATACACCATGCTAAAAGCACTTGCTGTGCCTCTGAAAATTAAGGTTTTTCCCCCCAAGAGGAACTTATCTGAAGTCCTTTAATGTACAGAGTGCAGGAGTCAGAAAAGAAACAGTCTGGCTTGTACAAAGAGGCATAATGAATATTGTCTTGTTACAGTTCTTAAGCGAATCACTGCAGTGATTTCGTAACACGGCTATTAAGTGAATCTGGCTTCCCCACTGACTTTGCTTGTCAGAAGATCACAAAAGGGGATCCCATGACCCCAGGACACTGCAACCGTCCTAAATCTGAGACAGTTGCCAAACATCTGAATTTTGATCACGGAGATGCTGCAATGGCCCTAAGTGTGAAAAACAGTCATAAGTCACTTTTTTCAGTGTCATAACTCCAAATGGTCACTAAATAAACTGTTGTAAGTTGAGGACTATCTGTAGTGAGTAGCTCTTAAACCGGGGATACCTGAGGCTAGATTCCTCACCTCAGATTACCATAGAGATAAAATGGATTTGTTCCCATAATCCTATCTTGAATTTCCTGGAAGAATATAATAAGTCGATTTTGCTAAAAATGGAGACATGCAACAATGCCTGTTTTGCACAGATGTTTCAAGAGGTACTTACAAAGCCATAATATGAAGCCATAGAAAAGTGCAAGACGTAAAGCTTAAGGGTATTAAGGGCCGTCTTACATGACAAAACATGTCCTTGACGAGCCCATTAAATCCTATTAATGGGACTGTCAGGAAAGATTTGTCATTGGGAAGATGTTTTCATCCATGAATCATTTAGCTTGTTCTGAAGTGATGGTTAATATGCTGATCCAATCACTTTTTTTTTCTCCTTTGATTGGGAATGGGAAATATCTGCTATCAAACAGAGCTGCGCATCCTCCCAAAATGATTCAGAAGAAATGCTTTGACACGCAGGAAGCAGGAATGTAGGAGCTCTTTAAAGCAACTGCATCTTTTTGCAGAGTAGGGAATGTGTCTGAACAATGATGCAGCAGCTTTAAAGAGGTGTTGCTGTTGGACATGTGCACCTGGTCAAATATGAGAGGATTATGTCCAAAAGTCATGGTTGTCTCCAACTAGTCACATGGCTTTAATTGCTAGAGAGTATATTCCTGAATTCTATACTAAAAGATATAACTGGACCTCAATAAAGAAGAACAGAGAAAGAGAG